GTCATGCTGAACAGCCCCCCAGTGACTCCCGTAGCAACAAGACCCTTTCTGTTTTCAGGAAGCCCTGAGGAGAGACCCCATGCATGAACCAGAGGAAGGGGCTTGTGGTCTTGAGCTGTTCCGACCCTGAAGCTGGTGCCTGGGCTTGGGACAGAGGGTGAACCTGGGTGACCAGGATCCCTGCGGCTCAGCAGGGGCTGCTAGGAAGCTCATGTCTGCACCTGCAGCCAGGGTGGAGGCCTGGAGAGAGGTGGCCAGGGAGTGAAGAGGCAGATAGCTGATGGGCTATAAGTTCCGAGAGTTCAGCAATGCTTGTTACCTGCACTCCCTGCACCAGCCCCTGAACTGATGCTTCAGAGACACGTCAGAAAATAACAATTCAGAGGACTACAGCTCTGGGGACTTGTCTCGAACAAGCATCTGAGAATTGTCAGAGTGTCCCTCCAGGACATAATGTGTCCGTATCTGTGGCCTGAGCATAAGAAACTTACCTGTGAAGATGAGTGTCACCACCTCACTGCGTTGAGCTCCCAGGCCATTGTTGGCCTCACAGGAGTAGTTTCCAGAATGTTCTTCAGTCAGAGAGAGGTTGATGGATGCTCCTCCTCCAGAGGGGGCTGAACTATTCCCCAGGGTAAAATCCTCATGATAAAACTGGTACAGGACAGGGGGAGAGCCTTTCAGGGCCTCACAGCGAAGCTCCACCGTGTCCCCCACCATAGCCTGGGCCTGGGGCGCCCTGATGGTGAGGATGGGGCGAGACGCTGGAACTGAGGGAGACAAAAAGCCAATAGCAGTTTCTGCTTCTCACATATGGGTAAGAAATAAAAAGTAGGATAAACAAATCAACACACAAAGTCAGATCTCAGTTGTAGAAAACAGACTGAAACACATATGATAGACAAAGCTAATTACTTTGATGTATAAATAACTTTCAGTGTCAACAAAATCCAAAAGAAAATTGTAAAAAGCATACAAATCACTGAAAAGTTGAAATAGCCAACAAATAGATAAGAAGATTCTCATTTTCAGTACTAATTAAATATGTACAAATAAAAACGGCCATAAAGTACTATTATTTTCTTCATTCATTAAACTGGCAATGCTTAAATGGACTAATACTTCTGATGGGCTTCTGGATAAACAGGCACCTTCGTGTGCCCTGGCTGGGAATACAAACTCAAAGCACTTCCCTGAATAGCAATTTGGCAGTATCTACCACATTTGAAGTTCATGTAAACTTTGACCAGCAAATCTACTTCTAGGACCATCTCCTTTATGGATAATGATATGTACTATGCCAAGTTATCTGCACAAGAATTTCTATTGTAGCATTTCTGTAATAACTAAAAACTGTAGCAGCCCATATAGCCTATGGCTAGGAGTAAAAGTTATAAGAAACACCTGAATAGCTCAATAATGGAACACCTTGGTGAAAAGGGCATGGGGAGGGATTCAGGTCTCCTAACAAGCATTAAGAGCATGCAAGATGAGAGCATTAGTGAATTGGTGGTCTCTACACCTGTGGTGTTGAGAAGCACGAGATCAGCCTTATATTAGGCTGGAGGAGAAGGCAGCCAGGAGGGTGCACGTTCTATCACCGACCTGTTTACTCTCAGTCTGTCTCCTCTCCTGCTTACAGAATGCCGGCATGGTATCTCTCTGCTGAAGATCACTAAGCTCTGCTAAAGACTAAGATCTATTCCCAGACTACTTCACCCTGGAAGACTACCTCTCTCTCTCTCTCCCTTCTGCTAAGGTAAATAGTCCTCAGACACCTAAGAGCAATGTTCTTGAGCGAGATAACAGCATAGCGGCCTGCATCTGAAACACAGCTAGGTAGGCTGGGGCCAGAGACCAACCAGTCCTGGGCCCTGATAAGTGGCGTCCATGACGGGACCCTGACAAGAAACTAGAGACAACCTAGCACGCTGGGTAATGAAAAATGATAGATACCCAAGATGTCGTTCTTAAGTAGGTCAATGTGTATTTTTAAGTAAAAAAAAAAAATGCAAGTTGCTATGTGCAATACGATTTTGTTTTTATAAAAAAATTCTATGCTTTTATCTTTATAGAATTTTTCTAGGATGCCCACAGGGTGGGTGGTTAACCATGGTTATGTCTGGGCCAAGAACTCTGTGGATGTGACAGTCTGTGGGAACAGGCCTTCACTTTGCCATGCTGGCCCTTTTGTATTGTTGGGATTTTTATCATGAAAGATCTACATATTCTGTCAGAATAATGAATTATTAAAAACTAAAAAAGTGTATTGAAACGTGACCATGATGGCTGGAGAAAGGTCATAATGTAGAGTAGGGCAAAGAGTTGGACAGGGCCTGGCTTTGGCCCTGCCAGCCAGGGGAGCTGCTGACTCCACCTCTCTGAGCCTCGGTGTTCTCTCCTGCCACCTGGGGATAACAGTGGTTTGATTTTCATCCTCACAGATTTCTCTCAGTGATGTCGCTTCTCAGGCACTGACACAGGGCCTGGCACATGGTGAGGGTCCAGTGACTGCTGCTGATAATGAAAAGTATTCTTTTTCGTGGCAGTTCCGTTTCATGGCCTCTCTATGATCTGTGCCTGGTCCTGTGACACACCCTATCCAGGCTGAAGATAAGAAGCCCCGTTGCTGTGACAGCAGCAGCAGAAAACATATTTGCACATAGGGATTGTAGAAACAGGAGTGGGGTGAGCAGGGAGCCCTGAAGTCACGATGTGCTGGTTCACTGTGCTGTGAAGTGGGAGGGGTAGCACTGACCGTGGCACATGCCCGGGGGGTGCGTCTGAGGATGAGAGTACAAATTGTGCAGCAACAGTCCCTGCCAATCTCAGCCGGAAACTGGCTGAGGCTGGTGCTGCCCCAAGGGGGAAGAAGAGTAAGCTGGTTGCAAGGGGAAATCTGAAGTTGTCCCCTCCTGGATGCCAGAGAGATGGCTGTATCGGCCACCTTGATGAGATTCTGGATCATGGGCTAGCATTGCCACATCAACCAGCTGGTCTGGCTTTGTCTCTATTCCTTTTTTTTTTTTTGGCTGGGGCTGGGTTTGAACCCGCCACCTCTGGCATATGAGGTTGGCGCCCTACTCTCTTGAGCCTCAGGCACTGCCCTGTCTCTATTATTACAATACCCAGGGGCCCAGCCAGGAGGAGCTTATAGTGCTGATCTATATTTTGCTTTACATGACTAAGAGGATGTTTGCATACAATTGCATACTCTCCTGTTCTCTGCGGTGTATCCCAGGAGTAGGGAGCACCAGCTTTACCTCCCCGGCACGTCTCCCGGGCGCCTCTGGTCTGCATACTCTGCATTGTCTGTCCATCCATCATAGGATTCTAGGGCAGGGCATGACTGTAATTTTCATCTAGTCTGATTTTTCCACAGTGAGGGAAAGGAAATTGAGGTCAATACAGGGAAAGATGCTTGGATAAAGTCAGGTGGCTTTTTATCCTCAAACAAGTCTACAACATTCATCCTAATGGCCGTGAGCATACTTGGTTATTCTCCAGCCCTCTCTAAATTGGGGGTTAGAGATTTGGTTTGTAGGGGCACCTCACCAAACAGATTCGAGCACACAGGAAGGAGCTTTCCTTGGGTTATAACCCTAAATGGCAAGAGGTCAAAGGATGGGTAAGAGAACGGAGGAGTTGGTTGATGGGTAGCCCTTTCCAATCTGTGTCATCTTGCTCTCCCTTCCCTGTCCTGGTCCGCTGAACACAGGGCTGTGCCCACAGCTTGTTATAATACAGGATTTTTAATGTGGAAATGTAAGGAACATTTATATCTCTGGTAATGAAAGAAACTCAAGAGCAGATAAGAAGAAACTTAATCTTTTGCGGGGGCAGAGAAACCCATACTCAAAATTCTTTGGTTTCTCCTTTGTATCGTAATTTCAGGTCAGAATATAGTCTATGCTCTAAATGTCTTCTTTGCATTTTTAGTGAACAGATTTGGTCACTTTCAAGACAACTGTTCGTCCTGTGCTGCTGGCAGAACCCAGGCTTCGGAGATAGCACCTCAGGGCAGACTCCACACCTTCACAGGGAGGCTGCGGGCAGCCAGTGTGCTGGGATGTGACAGTGGGAAGGGCCCCAGGAGAACAGCAGCACCCTGTTGGCTGGGAGAGAAGGCACGGTAGCAGTGGTGCTGCTGGTGGGCAGGGACAACTCACCTGTGACTTTGAGTGTCACCACCTCACTGCGCTGGGGCCCCAGGCCATTGTCAGCCTCACAGAAGTAGTTTCCAGAATGTTCTGCAGTCAGATAGAGGTTGATGGATGCCTCTCCTTCATAGGGGGCTGAGCTGCTCCCCAGAGTAACATTCTCGTGATAAAACCGGTACATGATTGGGGGAGAGCCTCTCTGGGCCTCGCAGCGAAGCTGTAACATGTCTCCCACCACAGCCTGGGTCCGGGG